CCCCAAATGGAAAAGGCTACCACAGCTTAAACATATTAAGTCACAAGGCCAGTTGATACTTGTATAATGCCCAATATAAAACTAATTGGATGGCCTGTCATGAAGGACAGTCCTAACCTGGCTTGGAAAAGATATTAGAGCTGATGCCAGGCAGGTCTCAGTGAGAAGCTTCTTCCATAATTGGGGGCTGCTACCAAGAAGGCCCTTCTCCTTGCTGCTGCCAACCAAGCCTCCCGCGGAAGAGGCAGCCAGGGGAAGGCTGCAGATCTTGATTTTAGCATGTGGGTAGACTGCCACTGGAAGGCGCATTCCATCGGGGATTGTGGGCCCAAGCCATGTAGGGCTTTATGGGTTGAAGCCATACTGTATCTCAGTGTGACACAGAACCAAGAGGGAGTGACGGCAAAGCTGAAGGTGTCCCACCCACTCCTCTGCCCTTTGCATCTTCTTTTTTTTAGTTTGGCTTCTGTACTGCTGGAGGCTATTGGATTTGTCACAATCTGGCCTTTCCCCATCCCTCCCCATCCCTGAAATGCCCTCCGACGGAGCCTCCAAAGTCAACTGAGGACACATTTCTGACCCTGGGAACTGGCCAGGTAGTTGTTTCCACAGCAGCTGTGAGAGAGGACCACTGGGGAGAGTAGATACTGGGGTCCCTCTTCCAAGATCGCAGCAACAACTGCAGCCTTGGAAAGGATGTTGAAGAATCATACAGTCCCTGGGAAGCTCTCTATTGGTTCCCCCTTAAATTTAAACATATAATGGGAGGACATATTCATGTTGCAAATACCTACAAGTTTTCTGTCAAAACTGTAATACAGGATGTCAAGTTTATTCTTTGAATATTTCTGGTCAAATACCTGTGGTTTGCCGGGACAAACATTTAACACATTTGAGTATATTCTCCAAATGTAAGTAAAATAAACATTCAATTAAATTACCTGTTAGGGCATCAACATCTTCTAATGTAAACTGAACATTTTCTAATGCAAATGTCATCATGCAGATTAATATGATTTGCATAAGATTTTTGCTTTCTGATTCAATTTTTCCAGAAACCCTACATTGCTGTATATAAACCAACTTGAGATTCTTTGGAATAAAAGACATATAGAAAAGCCTTTGATAGATAGACAGACAGACAGACAGACATTAGATAGATAAATAATAATTGAGCATGCTGGTTGGGGATGATGGAAGCTGATCTCAAAAATATCTGTAGGGACCCAGGCTGGGTAACTGTCCTAAACCCTCAATTCCTCAAGCTGGGTTGGAGCTTGAGCTCCCTGAGAAAGGAAGAAAAATGGGAGATACATCCAATGTAACAGCGATACTGCAGAAGTGCAGAGACGGAAGATTACAGGTACAAGCTAAAACAATTTTAAACCCCAAGGCAGATGAACATAGGGGTTAAATCAAGACATGGAGAAAAGAAAACAATGAACCAAATTTTGCTATTCCTCCACAAACAAAGGCAACGCAATGGTACTGATAAAAGCTCAAAGAAAATTAAAGACCAAGAGTGATTGGCCTGAGCTGAGCAACAAGCTACCCCGGAGGATTCTGAATTATGGATGAAGCTGTGGCTTTAATTAAGCCCGGATGTAGCTGCAGCGAGGGCCGTTAAAAACCAACAACAGGGCTGCAAACATTTGTTTAAGAAAAGTTTCCAGATATTCCTTTCCACAGGAATTAAACCATTATCTCTATGGCCACCACCAGCCTCATCACCAACAGTTGCAGTGTGGCAAACCCGGGTGAATAGACATTGATTTTACAATCAGTGACATCAAATGCTTACGTTACCCAAATCATCTTTTTGGGAACCTGCTCGTCTAGATATGCTGTGGCATGCAGGAGTTTAGCCCCCCGTGTTCTCCGTTCAAGACCCTCAAACCTCTACATAGCCCCATTGTCTCCAGTCACCTGCACGAAGAATCACAGGTTATGCACCAAACTGGATATTAGTTGCAGAAATGCTACACACCAGCCTTGTTCACCAGGATGCCTCACAGAAGTGGACTGGGACCCTTGTCACTTCCCAAGGGCTGTGTCGGACACAACAGCACGCTTGTGGAGGGTACCAGAGAGGGGAAAGCTGCCACCCCACACTCCCTTCTCCCAAAAGTGTCTTCCTGAACTTCTTGGCTTGTACATGCCCTGATCACATATGAAATGAGGAAAGTTTCCCACTCATTTGACAGCATCCGTTGCCAGTTTGGCTCTAGGTCTGTAGAACAAGCCATCCCTGTTCAGGAGCGCAAGTCCTACACTGCAGAAGAGACAATCTAGAAAGGGTCCAGATGATTATAAAATCTGATGACAGCCTTCTCTGTAGCTAAGAACATACAGACTGGCTTGGAAAAATCAGCTGGAAAACCCAGTTCTCCATCTGTAAAATAAGGATTGGTGAATAGAGTGGAAACTTCAGAACAGTTTGGTATATGGAAAAAAGCAATAACCCAAATGGGAAGAATGATATAGGCTTGGGGTGGCCTCTGAATGAATCACAATGGATCCCCTTTGGGGTTAATTTCTGATGAATCCATTTTCCTCCACATTTCTCACCACAAATTGGGGTCTCAACCAGTGCCAATTCGAAACTGTTGAGACAATTTGATATCCATTTGAAATCTGGATTCTACATTGTTGGGAATTGATTTTTTACAGTAGCAATGAAAAAACAATCCCCTTCACTGTTCTCACTTTAAGGATACTCTGTCTGTCTGTCTGTCTGTCTGTCTGTCTTAAAATATTATTTGGCTTTTGAAAAGAATAAAAATACTTGCTTTTCCATGTGTGATTATACACAGGTTTGGTTTCCCTTTTTGGAATAAAGCTTCTTTTTAATCTTTCAGTTTTTAAAAGTGTCCGTATCTGTTTTAAGCAAGTAAAAGAGAGAAAAGGAAGCAGGAATATAGCCTGCAAAATTCCAGAAACTGACCCTCTGGAACTATAATGGATGCTGACATTTTGTGCCCCCCACCCACACCACTGTAAACATCTGCTAAAGAAGAACCTCAAAAAGCAGGCCAGAATCTGGCAGAGGAATGTTCTTGTTTGCTAGCTTGCGCTTCCTTTTTCCATGAACAGCAGCAATTTATTTCAACTGTTTCCGGGCAATGAGAATGTAAGCCTCCTCAATCTTTTTTCTTCCTAATAAGTCTTTATTGGTTAACTGTGGGAAGCTAACCTTCCTGCAAGATGCTCTGGAACAAGCTTTGGTGATAAATGATCCATTTTTAACCAGTGATATGACTGATCATGTTATTCTTATTTATTAAGAAACATTGTTTAAAAGCACCCCCCCGCTGCCCACACACACTCTGAAAGGATAGCCGTTCAGTTATTGTATTTATATAGCCAGTCCATAATGCACATTGTTTGAGCAGCTTGCAAAACAAATACAGCATTAAAAGACAATATAAAACCATCAACAATGATTAAAATGAACATAAAGTTGAAATACAGATTTTATGATGAGGGGTGCAAAGTAGAAGGCGTACAGTTATTGCAACCTGTTGTAAGATGTAATATATTTCAGCAGCTTGGACGAATTAAAGGGCCTTCACCTGATACTGAAAAGACTATAAAGCCGGCTACTAAGGAACCATTCAGGGAAGGCGGATGCTCCTCTGACTTGTGCTAACATACGAGACACAGAAATTCCCTTTGCACCTTGGCTTGTTGCACACGGGCTTTTCTGACTGTTGGATCCGATCGCCACAATGGCCAGTTGATATTTTGTATATTTAACACCATAAATTACAAAGAAGGAAGGCAAAAAAGGAAGGAGGGAAAGAAAGGGGGAAGACCTGTTGTTACTGCAGAGAGATGGATAGAATGAGTTCCATGTCTGCCCATGTGCCAGCAGGATTCACTGCTAGTGCAACGGGGAGCTGACAATTTTAGAAGGACTCAGAACGGAGTGGAAATGCTCCTTCCAGAGCAGAACAGGCTATTGGAATTTGCCGAAGGAAGCTCTGCTGACCTGCCCTGATCCAAAGCAAATGTTTCCACTGGACCCCCATCCCTTATGGAAATACTTGATTTCTGTTCTAGGAGCAACCGGTCCCACTTGTGCAACAGAATGAGTAGCAGCCCAACAGAGCTACTGGATGCTGCCCAATGGAAGCCAACAAATTCCAAACTCACTCCTGCTCCATAGGCATGGAGCAATTAATGCTAGTAGGCTCAGGTTGTTTCGGCTTCTGGATGTGTTTCCCGGGTATGGTGTGCACCCCGAGAATCAGGAACAGGGCAAGTTCAGCATTGTCAATAACGCAGCTTCAGAGGCCTTGCACAAGCTCCCAAGACTGCCTGCACAGGTAGGACAGCTGGTCATGCTGGCAGCCTTGGTGATCCACTGAAGGCAAAGGGCTGCTGATCAAAGGAAAACCAAGCATTCATTTCTTCCGTACAAAAATGGGTAGCTTTGGCTGATTTAAATCAGACTGTTTCAGAAGTGGATTGTGGACCACAGCTATTGGAGTTAAGTGAATGCTTTTAGTTCTTTAAAACCCTTTTTGTGTCTTTCAAGGCAGTCCTTCTTGGCTTCTTTGCAAGATTTAATGCTTTTTTATTTCCCAATTGCCACAAGCTACAAAAAGTTGGTTATAAAATATAATACAGACAAAGTTGTCCTCAATACAATTGTTATGAACTTCCAATTCCAGATTTATATAAAAAATTCAATGAATTGTGCTGCTTTTGTCAAAGCCTTTTTCTTTCTCTAAGCACACTGTTAAAATGCTACTTTAAGTTTTCATTTTTTAAGAACTTGGATTCTCAGAGCTTTGTCATCTACAGTCTGTGCTCTTTTGCATGACCTAGGAATTGCCATCATCACATCCTAGAAAGCATTCATGATTCAGAAAAGAACACTTAGACGTTTCGAAGAAGCTGATACCGTGTGTTCCTCCACAAACAATCCCACCATGGTGCTGTCCACCCTTTCCCATCATCCCAATCAAAGCAACAATCTGGATTGATGGCCTTACCTGCTGGGTAGCGTTCTATAACTGGCCAGTTGTCCACCTGTAACGTGGCATTGCCGCCACTCCTTGTAAAACGTACTATATGGTATTTCCCATCGTTAATGATTGCGTTGACCTCTTCAATTGCGATATCATCCGTTCCAACATTAAATTTAACTCCAATTTTTCCTTGGTGCTGTATGGAAAATCAAGGGGGAAACAAGGATTAATTAGGTACTCTTTTAAAATGTCTTTTAAACTAATAAGAGGCAATAATGTGGAGAAAAAACTTATTGGAAATGCATTAGACAGGGCAGCCAAATGAGCTGCAGCAAAGAACCATCAGACACTCTTTCGGCATCTTAAAGATGATTGAATTTTGTTTGCCACAAACTTTTATGGACTATGGACAACTACATCAGTAGCATGGAGTACTTGAGGCTGATACACAGCATGTACTCAGCAGCCGCATTTAGCTCTTTGAGTTATCTTGTGTCTCACAGAGGGCTTGGAGCCCCCTGCCCTCCCCCATTCTGGATGCCAGCGATGGCACAGGCATGATTGTGCTGAGCTCTCCAGAGGCCGCCATCCCATCCTGGAAGAGAGTGGGCTGGCTGGAGGCCTCGTGAGAGCTCATCTCAGCATGCCCTGCCTGCACCTGCTGACTTTAAAAAGCCAACTTCGAACGAACGAGTTCTCATGACCCCCTTCCTGAACGAGGGGAGCAGTCGCAGCTCCAAAGGGACTTTGCGTTGATTATGTGGCAGCCCTTGAAGATGGCGATCCCATTGCTGCCCGTCCCGTCTACAGCTCCTTCCAAGGTCCCTGATAAGACATGGTCTTCAGATCAGAATTCTAACAAAGAGATCTCCGTACTTCTCACTCAGCTATAATTGCCAGGATTCTGTCTGTGACAACAGCAAAGCCAAGCCGAGCCCATTTTTTATTAATATAGCATTTGATTTTTGTAATTCTTGTTTCTAAAGGCCCATTTCTTTGGAAGGGCATCCCATGGTTAGTGTTTCAGGTGTCTATGTGTTTTATCATGCACATTTCAAAAATGCCATACACTGATAATAAGAATACACTTTCATAAAGTCCTAATACATAATAAATAAATAAATAAATATTTGTTCATGCCCTGTGGTACTTCTGACGTATTTACTGTACGTGGCTCTTCTGTTGAGCAAGTCGGGTGCAGGACAGCAGGGGACTGAAAACCATGAAGTCAGAAAGAAACTGCATGCAGAAAGTACGGGAGTAACTAGCACTAGTGCTTGCACTGGTCATTCAGAGTACTGTTGCTGCTGGAAGCGCACACGTTTTGGCGCTGGGTAATAGACAGATCTAGCTGGGTTACAAAATAAAGTAGAATCTTGGCTCAAGACACGGGTGACACAAATCGAAACTACATTGTCACCTCACACCTAAGCTCACATATCGCATGCAACAGCGAATAACCCTGAATAACCTGTGATCCACCAGCTTGGGACATACCGTGCCCAACGCCAGCCTACTTGGCAGAACGGGTTGCACTCTGGACTTTATCGATACCTGGGGGCAGCGGGGATACCCAGAAAGGGCTCTTTGTGTTTGCTTTGCTTTGCAAGTTACACAGGCCTGCCCTTGCCTGTCATGGGAGAAAGCATAGGGGTTTTAATATTTTTAGTGTATAACTTTGTTTTCGTATAATTATGTATGGTTTTGTTTTTGTTGTGAGCCACCCCAAGGCTTTGTTGCGATGGGGGCAGCATAGAAATGTTTTAAATAAATAATAAATAAATAAAATATCCAGGGATGACTTTGCAGCCACAAATAGCATTTTTGCTTAGGCAAGGCAGGGCTCCTGATTTTCACTGATCCTTTGCAGAGGTCCACACAAATCCTGAAAGGTTGCTTCTTCGGAGGATAAAGAAACTCCAGAAAAGTGTTCTTTGTGTTTGTGTGCAGGCGTGTGTATTCTCTCACTCGTTCCTCCATCCATCCATCCATCCATCCATCCATCCATCCATGCATCCATGCATCCATGCAGAGCAGTTTTTCACCTTCCTTTCAGCCAGATGAGGCTTCCAGAGTGGCGACAAAGATAAGAAATGGGACAGTCCCTCTTTAGAAACTATTTTGAAGGCACAACACAAAAGAAAAGCAAACAGGATTGAGAGGGAGGGAGGAAGAAAGCGAAGTATGGGATATGGGTAGGAGGGAGGAAGGATCGGTGGACAATTGCTCAGCCATGGAGCCCACTGGGTGACTTTGGGCCAGTCACGGACTCTCAGCCCAGCCCACCTCACAGGGTTGTTGGTGTGGGATAACATTGAAGCAGGAGGAGGAGAAGGATGTGAGCCGCTTTGAGTTCTTTGTAAAAGTGGGATATAAATCTAATAAATAAATAAATAAAAGACTGTGAGTCTCTCCTTGCACAAGAAGTGCTTCTGGTTAGTGCAAACCCACCTTTGGTAACAGGCTAGGCTTTCCTCCACCATAAACCGTGGCTCAGGGACCACCACTGATCTGAGATCAATCGTCTCCATGAACACATCATCGAAAGGACCAAGCAAAGTGCAGGAGAGCCCAGAGTTTCTGCAAAGTGTTCCCTGCAAGCTTAAAAAGACCCTTCCAGTTTGAACATTTAGACTCAGACTGACAGCCAGTTCTCCTCTGCACAGGCAACTGTATGAAAAACACCCCAAAGGTCCCTCCCTCCATATGCATGGCTCGCCCTGTGTGTTCATGCGGCTTCAGCCGGGCCACACAAAATAAGCGGCTCTTTCAAGTGTTCCCTCCCACTCTCCACCACCTGGCAATATTTGTAAAAATGCACTTTGCCTCCCACCCATTCGCCTCCCATAAAATGGGACCAAGGACCTTCAAAGCCGAAAGATCACTTCCATAAGATGAGGCTTGTGAAGATCAGGTTTGCCAGACTTCTCCTTGCCAGTCTTCAGGAATGCGAGAGGCTGCTTTGCACAAATAATGCAAAGCCTGTGAGTCGAGTGTGCAGAAGCAGAATCCTGCTTGGACAGCGGGTGCTTGGGAGGCAAGGGTCCAAGCCAGCTCCATGGACTTTCTCCAACCTACTTCCCGCTGGATGCCAAAGCAAATGCTCAGCATGAAGAAGACTTAAGGCAGAAAGAAAGCAGTCCAAAGCCTGGGGAGCTGAGCTAAGGAAATACAATGGATTTCAACAGGATTCCTCACACATCAATGGCTACCATAGTTAAACGGCTTTCCAAATCAGTTACAAAGGAAGCATACCTTTGAACATTGGTCCATCTATGTCAGTTTTGTCCACCCTAATGAGAGTTTACTCCAACCCTTCCTGGAACACCAAGGATGGAGCCTGGGTCTTTTTGCATGCAGAACATGTGCCCTATCACCTTTCTATTAGGGATAAAGAAAATTGTTTCTGTTCATCTGTGATCAGGATTTATCCAAGTTTGCACCTTCTGGACCCAACACAGATTCAGACACAACCTACAGTCAAAGTCAATGCATTCACGAGCTTGCACTATGACTTCCTGACTGGCAGCACATGCAATTTGAAGATCGTGCACAAATGTGCTTTAATCAGAGGGAGAACAAGGCTTTCCATTCAAAAGATGTGCGGAACTGATGCCTATGGTTGGAAGAATTCACACAACAGTACACAAGGTTTCATATGAAAGATAATGACAAGCAAACAGCAAAGCTTGCAATCTGATATGAACTTGAGCCACAACAAGCTCCGAGATGGAATTTGAAGAACTTTGGCAAGCCCCAGTTTGGTTGGCTCACACTTTTCTACCCAGGGGGAGACCTTGTGAAGCTGCTTTCATCACAACGAACATATATTTTGTTTAAGAATACATCCCTACTTGTGATTAAATTTATAAAAGAGCGAAGCTGGCATATTTCATTCCACATTGCTATTCCCAGGTCACAGACAAATATAACTTTAGATCCATATCTAACTTCCACCTCTTCCCATCCAATTTGTACTTTAGAATAGGTAAGGGGGCCCAGCCTGGCTTGGGACCCTAGCATGCGAGTAGAGAGATGACTTTTGAGTTACAAACTGGTGGTTCTGCACCAACTGTAGAGTAAAAACAGGAGCAAGGAACAACTTCCTTTCTGTATTGCTGTGTCAATTTATATTATACTATAGAATGTTAATTCAATATTTTTATTCAGGGCTTTTTTTGGTCATAGAACACACTGGAACAGCATTCCAGCACCTTTTTTTGACGGATTTTTCCAAAGGATTTTTCCAAGTGATTTTGAATCACCCTGTCGGGTGTAGCAGGTCGGCGGCAAAAATCATAAAAATGGTGCGTGTGGGCTGCTTGTGTGTTCGCGCTGATTGTGAGGGTGCTGCTCGGCTTGGGATGGGTTGTGTGGTTGCACGCTGAGTGCTTACTGCCGGCGGCGACCACTATGTTTCTGTGTGTACAGAGTGACTGGTTACATGCAAAAGAAATTATTGGCTATGTGCAATAATTATTGGCTACGTGGCTATGTGCAAAAGAAATTATTTTAAAATAATTTCTTTATTCTAAAAAAAGTTGGTGAATTAAAAATCTTTTTTTAATTTTTAGTGTAAAAGTGACCCCACATTTAAAAATGAAAAAAATTACTAATTACTTCTCAACCACTGGTCCTGCTAATAAAAGATTACCCTAAAAAAACCCTAAATAAAAGATTAACAAGATGTGAGTTCCGGCACCTTTTTTTTTTTTTTTACAAAAAAGCACTGTTTTTAATAATGATTTGCATGAGGAAGTGCAGGGAACAATTATCAAATCTGCAGATGACACAAAACAGGGTGGGGTAGTAAAACTCTCGAAGAAAGAAAGATTTAAGGTGAGCTTGATAAACTGGGGCACTGAACTGAAAACAACAAGATGAAATTCAGTACCAACAAATACCAAGTTCTGTACCTAGGAAGAAGGAACCAAATGCATTATTACAAGACGGGGAATAATGCATGTGGCTCCACAGCACTGCAAGCGCAAAGGAGCTTGAACTGTTGCAGATCACCATCTGAATAGGTAGCAACCACGTTATGTGGTTGCAAGAAAGGCGAATGGAGAGGGCCCTGTGAGCAGAGACTGAAAGAGTTTGGCATGTTTAGCCTCAAGAAGGGAAGACGGATGGCAATGTGATCGCACACTTCAGTTGCTTGAAAGGTTGTCACAAAGAGGAAGGGCAGAACCTCTT